AAGGTTCTGCTAAGCCTAAAAACAACATCTGAGATTCAACAACGTATATTTACGGTCTTTCTGTTATCTAGTGCTTGTAGAGAAGGAATTTTTCTGGTGGGCGCAGGGGAAGTTTTGGATAACACAACATTAATGGAGACTTACATGTATTAGTAGACTACACCAATCCTGCTCCTGCAGTCTGCCCAGAGTGACGGAAGAGGATTTTGCCATACAGGACTATAGTACCTAAAATCATCCAGAATGAGGTAGCACAAGATGAGGAATTACTCAGAGCTGACAATGGCACTCAAGACTACACAAACCAGCAGTTAACAGCTCCCACTGTCCAAGAAATGTGGACAAAGAAACATGAGAGCTCTGTCCGTGCACAGCTTTTGTTCCACACTGAACACCGCTAATCAACAAGCCCTTCCCGTCTAAATTGCAAGTACTTCCACTGCAATTCCAGGTATTAATTTATAGAATGAGAGCCATAAATCTCAAATTAATTTAACTGGGGGAAGCCAAAAGGAGAATAAATTAAAATAGATTCTTTCTTACTTAACTGTATTGCAACTACAGTAAAAATTTAAATTCCCTTACAGAGCCTTTATCACAACAACTATGTGGGCATAACTGCGCTGAGTGCACCCACTGGCAGAGACAGCCCTTGTGTCGACAGAAGATGCTTTTCTGCTGACATAGAGTCTCATCATTTCAAATAAACTTTGTTCTTTCCTTTCAGAAGAGGAATTTTCTTTCAGTATGTTGCTTCCCTCGACCTGTGTGCACGGTCACAGCTGGGCCGGCTCCACCAACTTGTATGAACAGATTCACATTATTTCCAAGTGAGGAACTGCAATTCTCAAGTCAAAACACTTTTATATTTTAACTTTCTACAGTTCTTTTTAAACTTCAAACTTTACATTCACTAAGCAGGATAAATACCAATTACTGTGACTTTGGTATCAACCAACACAAGCTGATTCTGGGAGATCAGATGTGGCTCAAACTTAAAGGTATTTAAGTTAATTTAATTTAACTTCATGAAGAAGAATTATCTCTCAACAAATCTGTGAGCTAAGGAAGTGTTATACAGATTTCAGACGAGAAAAATGATTAAGTAACAAAAGAAACTGATCATCATAAGTGATAGATGACTTTGACACTAAATTGGTTTCTTTCCCAAGCCTTCTACACAACTTACATACTCTACTTCAAAAGATTAAAAGGTGAACTTTGCCTGCTATTACAACAGCAATTTTTCCTTCTTTTCTAAAAAAGGAAATATGAAAAACCAAGCACTAAAATACCAGGGAAAAACCCACTTGTGTATAAACTATTTTTAAAATACAAATGACTATTCAAGATCATTGCTTAACACTGCCTTTCCAATCACCTACTGCAAGAAGATGTACAGCAGTAACATGCTGAATGCATTTTCAGTATGAATGCATTTTTCCTGCACTAACTTAATTACTTGAGAAGGGGACAGAGGCTGGTCATGCTCTGGGAACCTGTCCTAAATACCATTATTAACAGATGAGCAGAAGAGTCTGCTAAAAATATTTTTTAAATGGGAAATTGTTTCTGATCTCATTTCCCGGAGCTGAGCTCTAGAAGGACTTCTTTACTTGTGTGCAACAGCACATACAACTTGTACGGCTAAAGTGCCTGTGCTGAATAGCCCTTCATGGAGCACTGGGAAATACACTGGAAAGACAGACAGAGAACTGAGAAAACATCATCTGCCCAGGTGCTTCTGGAATGAACTTTCTAGGGTAGTTCACAATACTAGCATTTCTAAATTTTCCCCCTAAACACTCAGAATTTGACTATTCTTGAACTAAATGGAAATCAGTCCAGTTATTTGTGTTTCAGAAATCTGTGTAAATGTCTGTTTAACCCCTCCTGCTAGAGCCAGAGAGCACCAGTAGGTTTTAATTACCTGGACCAGCTTCACCTGGGACTTCCACCCACACTCCCTGCCCAGGAGTCCAGGAATAGACTAGACTAGACAATTTCAGTTGGAAGGGACCTACAACAATCCTCCAGTCCAATTGCCTGACCAATTCAGGGCTGACCAAGTTAAAGCATGTTATTAAGAGCATTGTCCAAACGTCTCAAACACTGACAGGCTTGGGGCATTGACCACCTCTCTAGGAAGCCTGTGCCAGTGTTTGACCATTCTCTTGGTAAAGAAATGCCTCCTAATGTCCAGTCTAAACCTTCCCTGGCACGGCTTTGAACCACTCCTACGTGTCCTATCAGTGGAGACCGGGGAGAAGAGCCCAGCCCCCGCCTCTCCACTTCTCCTCCTCAGGAAGCTGTAGAGAGTAAGGTCACCTCTCAGCCTTCTTTTCTCCAAACTAGACAAACCCAAAGTCTTCAGCTGCTTCTCACAAGACACTCCTTCCAGCTCTTTCACCAGCTTTGTTGCCCTCCTCTGGATGTATTCAAGGACCTTCATATCCTTCTGAAATGGTGAGGCCCAGAACTGCACACAGTGCTGAAGGTGAGGCTGTACCAATGATGAATACAGCTGCATATTCATCAGTCTTGACCCGCTGGTTGTGCTGTGTTGGATGCGCATCAGGATGCACTACACCCTTATGGCTACTAGAGCACACTGCTGGGTCGTACTGAGCCTGCTGTCAACCAGCACCCCCACATCTGCAGGGCTGCTCTCCAGCCACTCCTCTCCCAGTTCATACTTGTGTCTGGCATCCCAGGCGCAGAATCCAGCATTCGGACTTGTTAAATTTCATCCCATTAATCTTTGCCCAAGGCTCCGATCTATCTAGATCCCTCTGCAAGGCCTCTTGTCCCTCAAGAGAGTCAACAGCACTTCCCAGTTTGGTATCATCAGCAAACTTACTAATGGTACACTCAACTCTTGCATTCAGATCGTTGACAAATATATTGAACAGGACTGGCTCTAAAATTCAGCCCTGAGGAACACTGCTGGTGACTGGTTGCCAGCCAGATGTAGCCCCCTTAACTACAACCCTGTGAGCTCTGCTGTTCAGCCAGTTCTTCAGCCTCTGCACCATGAAGCCACTCATCCCACAGTTGGACAGCTTGTCCAAAAGGATGCTGTGAGGGATGGTATCAAAAGTCTTACTAAAATGCAGAAAAACTACATCCACCACCTTGCCTTCATCCACAAGATGGGTGACCTTATTGTAGAAGGTCATGTATCAAATTAGTAAAAAGGACTCTCCCTTTGTGAACCCATGTTGACTGCCTGATGATTGTATTATTCTTTAAATGTCTTTCAATAGTAGTCAGTATAATCTTCTCAAAATTTTTTCCAGAAACTGAGGTTAGACGAACAAATCTGTAGTTCCCTGGGCCTTCCCTCACACCCTTCTTGTAAATTTGAATGACACTGGCGAGCTTCCACACAGCAGGGACCTCCCCAGACTCCCAAGTCCTTTGGCAGATGATCGAGAGGAGTTCTGCCATAACATCTGCTAGCTCCTTCAGTACTCTGGGATGAATCCCATTGGGCCCTATGGACTTGTGAATATTTAGCTGATACATACAGCTGGTCCCTTACAATTTCAGTGTCCACAAATGGAAAGCCACAGTTTCCACACTCGTAGTCCTCCAACTTGTGGGATCGGGCAGCCCAAGGTCTATCAATATCACTAAAGACTAAGGAAAAAAACTGCACTGAATGCTTCCGCTTCTTCTTCATCCCTATTAGTCAGATGACGATCTTCAACAAGTATTGGTCCAATGTTTTCTTTAGACCTCCTCTTGCTATTAACGTACTTAAAACAGCCCTTCTTGTTATCCGAAACAACACTGGCTAGTTTCAACTCTAATTGAGCTTTTGTGTCTTCTCCCTGCATATACGAACCAAGGCCCTGTAATCTTCAATTTCTCTTAAAACCAACACGTTTCTAGCTGACAACTCTGACAGCAAATGTTACAACCGTAAATCAAATAATAATTGCAAAGAGAGGGAAAAAAAACCTCAATCAAAACCATGGAGAGTTTGGGCTTGAATTTCAAAGTATGTTACAGATTTTTGAATAGTACTGGGAAAAAATACAGCACAAACAGGAAGCTCAGTTACAACTAAAATTCTTGTAATATAACTTTTTTCCTTCCCTTAGAAATAACACACCATGCTTTAGGGAAGCATATTATTTACATTTGTTACATCTGAAGAAAAGAATGTATTTTAAGAACCCTAACTAGGAATCACTGGTGAACCACAATAAGCTGTGATATTAAGATGATACATACCCTTTTCAGTAACAATGACAACAGGGTGGAGTGTTCAAAATGGTATTTATATCAACAAAAATTATTAAAGTTTAATTCTGAAGTTCAAGATTTTTGTCTGTTCTGGAAACAAAGAAAACTATTCTGCACAAGTCTGAATTCTGAAGACCTAAAAGCCCACACCCAGAAATATGGTTAGCATGAAGAGTGATGAGCTAGTAACTTTGAGAAAAATGTGTTATTTCAAATGCAGTGACTGCATGCTGATAAGCACGTAACTTTTGCTGCTGTGATTTAAAAAGACAACTCTCCTCAACTATCACTTCAACTCTCCTGGGGATGTTACCATATCCACAGAGGAACTTGCAGAAGGGAATGGATGTCTACATTTCTGGAGGTCAATTCAGCATTTCAACACAAACTTTTCTTTGCTGCAGATACTGTTACATGTGCATGAACTGCTGCTGAAACAGCTCAGGTACAGGCACATCACTATTCCACTAATGCAGCTGTGAGTGCCCTGGCTTCTTAAGTCATCCGAATATGAGTCAGCTGAATTTACTACTCAGTAATTACACAGGAATTTCACTGTTGATATATTAAAAGACAAAGAAGTCACATTTCTGCTGAATTGTTTTTAAGATGGCTTGTAATTACTCACTGAAGTTTTAATCCATAAGATTATGTAACCTCCATTTGTAACATTAAAGACTAAGAAATGTATTATTTCTTTTTGCTATTTTTAATTAATAAGCACACAAACTGAAGAACCACTTTACCTGACAGAGTTTTGTTTCCTGTTTTCTATTTTCATTAAAATCCGTACATCTGACTGAGGAGACACTGTATAGATTTTTAATCTGAAAAAAAACCACAAAAATGCAATGGAGACAAAGAAACAATGTACAATGACTTTTCTTCCTATCATCCGTAAGAGACGGTTATCTTTCACATGTCAACAGCCAAAAGTATGTATTTCTTCATAAAGACAGTATTTTGTCACATACTAAGCATTTTCTATAAATGAGGGCTATAATTACTAGTATGTTTTTCTAATTACTCTAAAGTAAAAGGTTCACTGTCACCCCCACTGAGGTTAATTATGGTTACATTTTTTAGAATTACAGTTGCTTTATTTGATCTTTACGCCACGAGTCAATTTCTTAATCTTTTCCTGGTTTAAATTAGGTGGCTATACTCCAAGGTTAGTTGGCTGGTGAACGCTAGGATGGTTTTCATTGCAGGAATTGAAGATGTACTGCTGACTGGGAAACCAGCTCTGCATGCTGAAAGTGTGGCTAGTTTAAGCCATTTATTCAGAACTGTTCCCTTCTTTTTTTAGGGCATTAGATGAACTAGGCAGAAAAGTTATTCAGTACACACCTTTGACAAACTACAGGATCTGACTCCACTGGATCAATGTACGGCTTAAGGATATCAGTGAGTGTTTTATCATCGGGCACCCTTTCAACAAAGATAAAAATCAAATACGTAAGACATGGTTCATCACGTACACAAAAATCTATTATCTAAGTCATTTGGAGGAAGCTGTATATTTGCACGCTACAGCGGCAGCACAACTGAGTAGTTTATGGGAGGATCATAAATGCGTATCAATACAGGATAGATAATTGGCAGCTTTATCTCGATTTCAACACTGGGACTTCACTGGCATCTACAAGGAGTAAACAGATGCCTATCTCTAGTTTCTAACCCTGCAGCAGAAACATGCTGTTCCTGCAGCCTAGAAGCAGACGAGGGCATACTTCTCGTCCTCCTTCAGGCTAGGAAAAAAGGAGAAAGATTTGTCAACAAAAGCTTGGGTTTTGGCCTTTTCAAAATGTGCTTGTGGGCTTCTCTACAAAGCAAACAATGCAACCATTTCTTCCTATATGAAGGTCAGCTCCAGTGTGCAGGTGAGGAGGGATGGCAAATCTTGCTGAACATCTGCTCCACGAGAACAGAATACGTTAGGTGTACAGAGTATCACTGTCACAAATACTAAAGTTGCTCTGTTTACAGTTTACACAGAGAAAACAACTAGCAATCAAACATTTTGTCTGATTTGAAAAGCCTGCTAGCTTTCAAAGAGGAAAGGACTTCACAACTTTTAAGAGGTTTTTTTTTTTTCAGTTGAAATGCCCTTTAAATTAAGACTAAAAATAATATTTGAGTTTACCTTGTATAATAGAAATAGATAAAAACTGATAAAATATTCTGCAGTACAATTTCAGTAGACTAATTTAAACTTTATAAAAGCTCTATACCCTTTTAAAGTATATTCAGCATGACAGTGAGGAAATATGAGCTTCAAATGCCAGTAGAACTTTTTCTCCCTGAAAAGAAAAAGAAATGCATATTCTTAATGTTAGCTGGTAACTACTACTTGTTTTTTCCATGATAAAGCTCAGTAGTCTACGGCATAGGCACAGAAGAAAACATGCAGTCGGGCATGCACAGAAGCCGAGATGTACTTTGAAAGATGCAATGTTCCCAGATCCTGATGAATTTCAAGTCCTCATAGGATGAAAACCGATTCCTTACAAATACAGGTAAGATATCACCAATTAACTGATCAATAGAATTTCACATTTTAAAAGGGAGTATCTCTCAGCTGACTTTCTATACGTATAGCTGTCCTTTAATCTCAGAAAAGGAAACTGCTTTTGGCATATCACCCAGGACAGATTGCCAAACCTGTGCAACAATGATAGTCAGAGATCCTGTCTGAAGCCAGCTTCTACACAAAAAAGGGGACTTGACTTTTCACAGCAGTGGTGGCCTCAATAGAAAACATGTCATGAGCAGGGAGGGAAGCTGCATTTTGGCAGAATATGGTTAACAGAAGTTAGAATAAACATTTTACAGAAAGATCAGGAAGCTCTTGGTAGAGACCAATATCGATGTCACATTCCTTTCTCCAGTTTGTTAGCTTCAAGATCCATCTCCCCTTTCCAGCTAGCATAATAAATATCTGAGAATAGAAGCTACTGCAGCACAGTTCCAGTGCAGTATCATCTTAAGAAAGGCAGTATTACCTAGAAGATACTTCACTAGATTAGGAAATCTTTTTGCCTTTTTACTCATCTACAGAAATGCTGCTGGAGTCAATACTGATTTAAGACAAGGCATTTTTCCTCTTATTGCTCCAAATTCTCCCATTCGGTGTGACGAGTGTAACGGTATTTTTCTAAAAGAATCTCCTAAGAAAAACCACAGTCTAAAAGGTAGGTGCACGGCCCTTTGCTCTGGTTCAGAATTTTACACTCATGAAAAACAGCAAAGACTTGTAAGAGGAAGGCAACTACTACCATTTAGAAAACAGAAGCCAGACATATATGTGAAGCGTAGAAACGGCTAATGGTACTTCCTCTCCCCTTTTTTTTTTAAACACTACTTAATACCTATGAATCATTATATCCAGGAAAATCACCATCAGATATGAAAAAGATTCTGGTACTACAATTAGAAGCAAACACAGTGTTGTTCTAACTTGTTGTTTAATTTGTTTATCAGGCAGGTGAAACATTACCCAGCAGGTTCTAGCTGGCTGCAGAGACAGATGTACGTGTACCCAGTAGCAAAACAGTAAAGTTAGCTGCTAAGTTCAATTAACTATGATACCAATTTTTAAACAGAAGCACTTTTTATAAAGTGCTCTTATCAAATAAATAATCATTCCCTTACCTATTTATTCCTAGGAGAAAACTGAGCTTTACAGCTGAAATATACTTCCAGTAGTATAAGTAAAATCAGAAGCATTACGTGTTTACCAAAAAAAGAGCAAGCAAGAATCCTAGCTCCAAAGAGCTAATGATTAGAATAAAAAGAACTAATGAAGGTCAAGGTCCCCAAAGCAGCATGTGACTCAGCAGAGCTGTGCAGTATGGCTTGTGATTCTTCCCTTCTATCTCTTATGTTTGTTAAAGCTGAGAATGAGAGAATCTTCCTTAAATGAGAAGGTGATGTTAGAGCACATTCAGTCTGAAAGAGGTAAAAAGATTGTATGACCAGAGCAGATAGCACAGAAAACATTATTAATTACATAGCATATATAAATAGAAGCTGACATAGGATCTTGCCCCATGAATTTTATGCTGTTTTGCCTATTGGTATGATACTGTCTTAAATTCTCAACCAGAAAAGCTTTTGAAATAACTCAAAATCAGTGAGTGGAATTTTGGAAGCTTTTTGCAAGACGAGTGAAATAAGCTTTTGCAATTCTTCATCTTGATTGCTGAAGGAAGCATCAACACTACCATATGTGTAGAACGAACTAGAATATCAACAGGGTTATGGAACTAGTTCAATTGACTTGCGATTAACAAGCTTGTGATTCCTCTCTTGGACACACAGTCGTATCTGGCATTTAGCATGGTGTGATATTCATTCAAAGCACTTTCACAAGGAGACTTCAGTAAAAATTCTTAATCTCCAGAGAGAAATAGGGTCACCATCATTAGCTGCAGGAAACACTAATGATGGCCATATTTATTGAAATACTTGTAAGAGCTGTATTGGATGAGGTTTTTGTTATATGTTATCAACTAAAATGAGGCTTTCTAGCATTTTTTTTGTTAAACTTATCATCTTCCACAATTTTTTCAAACTAGCCATGTTTATCTACTCTAAGTGACCAACCCTTATTGTGACATGGACTTTCTTTCTGTCAAGTTTTTAAATCAAGACAGCCAAAGCAATGGGAGTACTGCAGATCTTCCTCTCCCAAGTGGAAACACACAAACTCTGACACAGATCAGAGAAACATGCATGCGGTCTAGAGAGCTGTCTCCAAATCAGGCCTTTGAAGAAGACATGTTTCAGAAGTACTCTAGCTATCTGCTACCTGTTGTTAGGAATACTCTTTATGTGTCTGCAGAAACGGTCATCACACAGCACATTCTGATTTCATATGCAAGACCAGTTCCCTGTGGGCTCACTGAGACAGACTCATCTCATCACTGCAGCTGTATAATCAGCTTAAGAGGGTTCTTTTCAGACTTTCGCCTGACCTCCCCCTTCCAGGCATAATTTAGTCTATGGAATAGTGCACAGAAAGAGCTAGGAATCAGAGAGTCTGAACACTGAAGTTAAAAAGATAATTCCTTTTCAAAAAAGTTTCACTTTGGAAAAACAGAAATTATTTTTTTTCCCCAGCATGCAAAGACCAAAACTGCAGTTAAGTACTTCATCTCTCTTCAAAGTACTCTAGTCTGAAAGTAAGTGGCAAGCAGGAACAGGTAAAATATATTAAGAACTAGGTAGGAGGAGGCAGGAAAAAAGCAGCTTAGAACTGGAAGAGCCTCAGACTCTTCACTATACAATGAAGTCCTGAAAAACAACCTGATGGATGCCTGTTACTAATGTGAAGCATCCCTCAACATCGCTGATCTCTGCCCAGTCAGAGAACTTGATGTCAACTGTAGATGCTATCAAAGCTGCTTCACAACAAGTTCTGATTAAAATTGGATATCCTGGCTCCAGATCTCAGTGACTTCATTTTCCATTATGGCTCACTGGGGTAGTATTTCCTTCAAACACAACTGACATGTACTATGTTCAATTTCTAAATGAAAATGCTTAATTGAGTAAGTCATCTGCAGTTGAGTAACAGCTCACTGCATGAAGTGTTCCATGCCGCTCAGCTTCCACAGAACGCCATTCCACCGTTTTCTTGAATACCAAGGCACTGACTATAAAACTACCAAATGGCAGAGATCTGGAAGAGGCACAAGCACATCCTTGATGTCAGTAAAAGCAGCATCATAGCCCATCCCTGCACTGCTTGGCTTCACATCCTATTTTGGCTACTTCAGAAGCATGGAAACTGATCAGAGGGAAAAGAAGAGCCAAGCACCTCTTCCCCTGCGTGAGATGTAGCTGCAAATTATGTTCAGAACCACACAGGCTGTTTCGCAATTACTGTTCTTCTAAAGCAAAGTAACTGTCTCTCTCTCATTTCTCCTAAAATTCCCCCCAAAAAATTTTCTATAATCAACTGTAGGTTTCACAGAACTACATGAAAATGATTTTGGAATTAAAGGACAGATCTACAAAGGACTCGGGGACTTGGACATACCAGTTAAGTGTCTTGGCAGATTCTTCAAAGGGTCCAATGATTATGTGTTTCTTAAAACATTTATGAAATATCTCATAAAGCTTAACTTTCTTACCTAAGTTTCCTCTGAACAGTCAGTTTTGCCTATATTGCAGCAGATGTCTGAGTGTATATATATACATATATGTAAAATAAAACATATATTGACAAAAAATTCCAAATTCATCACATCTTAAGGTACCAATCGCAGTTCTGGCTCTGCAGAAGTACTTCACTGTCAGCCTGTTAAAGATAGTGATTCACTGACGATTTTGTTTCTAGTTAGCAACTAATATTCTTAAAATATTTTAAAAATAGTACACAGGACATCTTACATCAAAGCGCAAATACTGTAGTATTTCCCATGTTATTTTGAATTGATAAAAGAGATTAAAAGGATATAAAGAAGTTTAATGAAGGACCAGTTATCCTTGAATTTGACAATACCCAGTACTCTCACCTAATGCACTGAAGTTTAATTGAAATACTGGGCATTCAGTATCTACACCTGTGGATAATAACGCCTTCTCAACTTTCTTAAGCAATGGAGATTCTGCCCATGTAAGTGCCTAGATCCTCTTGTGGGTTAAAAAAAAAATTAGTAACTTAAAATAACACAACGTGCAGAAGTGTGATTTCATCCTCCCACCTCCCCAACTCTCTGTTCCTAGTGCCAAACTGACTTTGTGGCACTTCTAACAACAGCACACAAAAGAGGATGTCTCCATTTTGTTGAAACTTCATCAAGCTAATTCCTGGATTTGATGTATAAACAGTAAAATGGAAATATTTCTACTGAAAGTTCAAATGTTTCCTAGTTACAGTAAACAGCAAGACAATCCATGAAGAAACTGATGTGCACTTCCTTTGTAACACATATGGTCTTCTATCAAGGGGCCTCCCAGCAGCAGGAGATGTTATTAGCCATATGTGTTGCAATAATCAAACACGCCAGGCTTGAACTGAGAGTCCAGTGTGAATCAAAGGGACACTGTCAAGGCTGAGTAACCCAAACTATAATGGTCTTTAAAGAACAAAACTACTGTCCTCTTTAACTTCTGCAAATAAACAAAACACCATCAGATTCACTATGAGAATAAAACATTTCAGTTGCAAAAAACAGGAAAAAAAAAATCATTGCAGGTACAGAACTCAGTCAGTATTCATATTCACATGGGGATGTTCTGAAAAGTTACTGATTTACTGAAACATGTGAACATCCTGCTCACCGGTCACTACAGAATAGCGTTCCTTTGCCTGGGAACTGACTTTGGTGGGTCCTAGAAAGCAAGCAAAACTATGTACCAAGTAACAACTAAATTCAAGTTCAACAACTCCAATGGTATAATTATTAGCCCAAAACCCAGCTCAGGTTAACTCCTTGGTAAATTCTCAAGATCAGCAATACTTCAAACAATTTTAATTATCCCCACCTAGCTAAGGATCAGAGTTGACATCTTAGGGCTTTCAGGTGTACCTCAAAGTAGCTTCTGTAACACTAATAATCTATTAATTGGTGCTAATCCCAAATCTCCACTCTCTTTGTTCTCAGAATTAAATCAAAGGAGAGAGATAAAAATAAATTCCTTCCACCAGGGAAGAAGACTTGTAGCCCTCTGGCGTCTCCTGGCAGGAAGGAGAGGTGAGAAGAATTTTGCCTGGGAACGGGGTGGAGATGCCTATGAGAGTGTGAGCAGCAGGGAGGGCTGGAGCAGGGCAGCACAGACAGCAGAGCTAAGGGAGCTGCACTGCCCCGTTTCAGCTGCTCACGGCTGCCGTCATCTCCCACCAGAGAGCCAGGAGCCCAGCAGTTGCAAGTTCCCTGCCCTCTTCCCGTTTGCCCTGCTGGCTGGAGCTCCCCAGTTGCTGCCCTAGCCCTCATCCCACCCTGGTCACATTCTCCACCTCTTTCCCAAAGGCCCTCTCTCCCAGCAGGCCACCCCAACTCCACAGCAGCATGTATCCAGAAAGGAAACTATCACTTCTATTGGAAAATAAGGGCACCACGGGAAAGATAGGGTGAACTAGCCCATTGAAAATACTTTCCAAATAAGGCGTCCCAAACCATCTCTAAGTCAGATATCTCACGAGTTCACAAACCGGACTCAGACTGTACTTTCTAATGACCCTCCATTATCTAGATAGTCAATATTACAAGTTAGTCTAATCCATGTGTTGCCCAGCATTGGCATGTATGCTTTCACAACATGGAATTTAACAAACAAACTAATGGAAACCAGGAAATTAAAGAGTCTGGTTAACAGATCCAAATAACCACTGATCTGTCCTCCAGAGCTGGCAGGGGCAGGGGATGACACAAGAACACATCTTGTACTTGCTAGTTTTGGACTATTCTGATTCCTGCCTTGTACAGCCTAACAGCTGGGGTCACACGGAGAGCGTGAAGAGGACATCAGAGAAGACTCTTCTCAGCTTTCCACACACATATGTAGAGCAGCTTCCAACCTCCACCCTCTGGAGCAATCTCTCTACAAATCTCAACTCTGACAAGCAGCATGAGAAGGGGCTCACATCTGCAGAGGAGCAGACACATCAGACTGACCACTGTCAGGTGTTAAGCTTATATAAAGCAACTATTTGCACAGCTTTACCCCAGTTCAATTTAATATTCAACAAAACGCCATGAGTGTCGTGAAGTCACATGGGGTAGGTGTTAAATGGCTGATATTCACTGGTTCGATCAAACCTGAGGTTTGATTCCTCAGGAACACATGTAAGGAGAGTATGCAAAACATGTCAATTAAAAAACAAAAAAACCCCACAAAGGTTAATTTTTAATCTGCATCACTAAATTCAAACAGCCCACTGCTGTGTGAATAACAGTAGCAGAGAGGAAACATATCCTTTGTGCAGTACTCACTCAGCATATTCCATACCCTTGGACAGTGTTTACAGGAAAGAGATGGTTACTTCCCATCCTCTTAAGAACAGAGAACATTATTGTGTTCTTTCTGATGGGATGTGAAAGTCCCAGAAAGGCTACCATCCTAAAGCAACAACAACAAAAAACACTCTGGGACCTTATGATTGACGAAATCAGTAAGGCATTCTCCCAGACAGCCTGTGAAATGCTTCCATGCCTATTGGCCAATAAGTCACCCTCCTTGCCCCATCCTCTTAGTTTTTAAGTCTGCTTCTGTTAAACAACATAAAGCATGACATGTGTGAAAGCATCATCTGCTCAAAGCTTAATTTGTTCCGAATGCAAGCTACACTTCAGTATGTACCCGAAAAGGCTTTCTAGAAAAAGAACTGAAAAACATGGTCAGCACAGAATTGTACCACGTCCAGGATCTTCCCAATACTGTCAAACCTCCCTGTAACTGTGCCTTTTTTGTTCTTCTGTGCTTTTCTTACCTACTGCTCCCACCATCCCTGCGCTTTCTGCCTCTTAAAAGACCACTCCCTACCCTGTACTCCTGAGGGTGTTTACATTGTTTTACCCGTAACACTGAGGAAATTCCCCAGGGAAGTTAAACTCAGCTCGAAGCCTGAGATGCTTCAACAGCAGGAAAGAGCAGCACAAGAGAGCTGTAAGAGTTAGAGCACGTGGCCAAGGAAAAGAACCAGTGCAGAGGCAGACAGTCCCTGCTCATGTGGCAAACACCTGGAAGGTTTGGGCTATTCCCTGGTCTTTTCCGACGGGAGAGCCTCAGTGATGTACAGATTTGGGGCAGAGGGTGGAGAGAATGCCCCAGATTGCCTTTCTTTCCCTTGATCTACCCTGGATTTTCCCCAGCAGAACTGGTACGACACGTACCTTTAAAAGGTTACGCTTCTACAACCCTTCCACGCCTCGTTCCGCTAAGAACGGGCACCGGCAGCGCCAAACGCCGCGCTCCGGCCCCAGCGCGGAGCGGGGAGCGCGGCGCGCGCCTCTCCCCTTGTCCGAGGGAGACCCCTGGCGGCCAGGCGGGCCCCGCCGCGCGCCCCCGAGAGGAGGGAACACGGACCATTCCCATCTGTCTGCCTGGACCCGTCTCTCAGCTGTGCCGTTTCAAGCATCCGCGTCCGCCAGCGCAGCACGCAGCAGAGGTAACTCCACTGGAAGGACCTCTTCAGGCTTAAAGTCAGCCTTTTCCAGAGAGAGGGATTTTTGCAGTGATTCTACATCAATCCTCTATCACAAACCTTTAAAGAAGTGTCCGCTTTTTCCAGCAACAAAACCCGTGTTTTTTGGAAGATGAAATACACAACAGCACTGATTCTTCCTCCTGTTACTAAATGTTGGTATTTTTCAAAACAAAGCATGAATTACACAAGCTGTTAAACTGAGCTCAAAAAGCCTAAAAAAATGAAAACCTGCAGCACGAAATACTGAATCTAGATAGCTTTTGGAAAGAAATCGTGCATCTAACAGATTTTAAAAGCGAGCGTATCAGTAACAATTCAGATGCTCGTCATCATGTGTTCAGTGAATACAAAATATCGCTGGTTCTAACTAGCTGAAGACTCACATGCAGTTGAAGGTGGTTGAATTTTCTCTTCTTTTTGTAAATCCAACAGGAAGCGTCCTCAGGTCAATATCACATCTTCGAGCTTTGTTTCTCAAGGAATATAACTAGCAAAAAATAAAAACCATTTTTTTTAAAAAAATCTGAATAATATATTCAAAACCTTAAACACCAGAAGAGTAATGCTGATTGGTATTATGGGAAAACTCTAGAAAAGGCCACATTTGACAAAGTACTTTCTTTGACTTTTTCAAAAAAACATCATGAATGAAGAAGTTGATAAAGTAAGCCTAGAAACTATCTGAAACATTTTCTGGTGAAGTTTTTCCATGGTTAAAAACCAACATAGTAAAAGTTTTTTAACATATTGTGAAAGCCACAGCCAGCCCTTGTGGGTGTAATACCACCCACGGAGCTGGTTTTTGGGCTACAACCCCACCAGCAGAAGGGACGCAGGAGCACCATCTCAGCCACTCCAACGCACTCCGATGTGAAGGTAGCACTAAGGTTATCATCCCGTACACATGCCTAGGACCACACTCTAAAAACTGCTGCCTATGTAGCATCTCACTGTTTTCAGTGCATGTTTTCAGGACATCCTGGTGATAGGCACACACACAGAGTACAACTTCAGCCCGAGAGAAAGCTGGACTCCTCTGAATTTACTTTGTTATCAACATCAGTTTTCTCCAACTGAGTTTAGTGCTATATTTAAAGATATCTTCACAAGACTGAAAAACAATGTGGCCCGGATGCCTTTCTGTGGCATATCAATGAGTCCAAGTATTTTGGAGCAGATTTGAGATTTCTGTTTGTCCAAGGGTTTTTGTGTTTGTTCCCCCCCCTCCCTTCTTCATCTCGGTCTTCGCACTTTATTGTCATAGGACTTTCAGGAAACGTTATACATTTCTGTGATGTCATTAATGCTTTACTGGAATTGGAGGAGTTTCAACAAATTGCCCTCTCACCCTTAGAAGGCTGGCTTTTACTTCATTGTTACTAAGATTTATTCTTCGCAGAACTCTAGTTGCTTCATTTGATATATGGGGAAGCATGTAATAATTTTTAGGCAATTAATAAATCCAGTGTTTACCTGGGAATTTTGTACTTAAAAATTCAAGAAAGTTGTGGAGGTGGAAGGAAGCATTCAGGCTTTCTTAACATGCATGTTATCATCACACAGCAAGAGTGGTCATGCATCAATTTTAAGAACATACACTGTTAGCAATTTACTCTTCTAAAGAATTGGAGGCAGCCATCAATATTATCATTACATAAACCTAGGGACTTCTTTTGATTTCTGGCTCTCAAATTCAGGGTCATTCATACCTTCATATGAGAGGCATCAGCTCTGAAATCTGAATTGGGTCTGCCTCAGTGGGAATTCAAAGGTAGTCAACCCTATCTCCAACAGACCAAGTTGCTACTTTAAAACTTACAAGTTTTTTTGTTGTTGGACTATGCACTATAGGATGTCGAGCAGCAGCATCAGCTGTCCTTCCTACATCTTCCAGGAAACGATAATCTGAAGGTAAAAAAAGAACAAGAAAAAACATAGTGCTAATCTAGTAAAACCAATGAACTTTAAAAAGCACAAGAAATATTCTTACCACTCAAAAGGTTCAAGTCAGTAAATTCATTTACAGAGATAAATGCTGTTTTATCCCTGACTCCATTACAACTCAATGCAAGCTTATGCTTCTTTACACATAATAGACTGAAACGATATAAAGAAAAACATTAACATGTCACGTTCAGCATGAGTGAGAAAAAAAAACAAAACAATTTAAGTCAGATAATAGATACCTGCACGAGTATTTCATGCATCGTGGACATCTGTACTTAGCTTCCTCTTGACTACACGTTTCACATCTGAAAGAAGTAAAAAGTACCTCTTAATAAAGCATCGTTTTTGTGCCTGACTGGCCTGGGCCGGTGCCTGCTCAACAACCAGGCACTATGCCTTCAATCGGCATTTTTGGGAAAAGTTATCTGAACCTTGAAAGAAGAAACACAAATACTCTGGATTAGATAAGGTGGCAGACAAAATAACACAAGCTATATGGAGTATCTCCAAACACGTACAGAGGTCTTACGTATATAAAAACACTGAACAGACGCTTGAAAGAAAGAGAAAAACCCTGTGCTAACTGCAGAGTTGGGAGCCCAGCAAGGCTGTATCAGTTTATGCTTTGTGGCCTAGTTGTATCAGTGCTTTTCTCTGTTTACATCACCTGTAACGTGCATCATACCATGCTGGCTTAAAACTCTCCCAGTTTTAGGTAGATGGAAAATAAATGTCGAAGATTCACACTAAAACCTGAACACTGCATCTCATTTTTTTTAATGAAATAGAAAAACCAGGACAATATAGTCAGCAAAACTTCTGTCTGTTAGCAGTGCAACCTCCAAAGTCAGGGAACCTCTCAGGCACAACCTGTTAGTCTTTATGAATATAGCTAACAAATATTATCTCATTAAAAAAAAAAATTCCTCTACTAATGTAATATTCTGCTTTTTAACGAAGCTATTACAACAGATGTTTCTCCTCTTCTTTAGGAAAAGGTTCTTGCTACATTAACTGAAACAATTCTCACTTTTTATCTATTTTAATTTTGACAAACAAGAAAAGGAAATAACCCTCCTCCCACATCAGTAAAGTTTTTAAGAACGGCACAAACCCACCACTTTTAACTACTAGAGGAAAACTGTAAACCTCAAAACATTGTTGCTCCTCTCCCCACCGTGGCTCGCTGCTGACAGCGGGGCGCGAAGGCCGAGCTCAGCAGTCCCATCTCCCGACGCGAAGGCGGCTCTCTACGCCGGCAGCACGAAGCATTGCAAGAACGGAAAAAAAGCGTTTCGCACACCGCAAAGCAGACGCTGGAAATCCTCTGAACGAGGAATCCTCTCCTCTGCGCCCAGGGCCCCGCAGTGCCCAGCAGCGAGCGGGGCTGCGAGGCCAG